TCCTCCATTTTGTGATCTGATGTGAGCAGCCAATCAGTTGAAAGGGACGTTTTCTGGGGGGCGTGGCCTGTATCTAATATATATGGATGTTCTGGCAAAGCTCGCTGTCTCTCGATCCTGCATCTGACTCGTCATTGTTTGACCTCTGATTCTTGGGATGAGAGCCAGCAGCCTGCTTCCTAATCTGCAGATTTGGGGATTCGCCAGTTCCCGCAGCTCCGTGAACCAGCAGCCTGACATCTGACCTGCTGATTTTGGGTTCATCAGCTCCTGAAACCAGGAGAGTCGGGAGAAACCTCCAGCCTGACGCCTGACCCACATATTTGGGACTTGCCAGCCTCCACAACTACAGGAGCCATTTCCTTGAAATATATCTCTCCCTATATATATTTACATATATATGCTTCACTGGTTTTGCTCCTGTAAAGAACTCTGCCGAAGACAAAATGATAAGCAAAAGATCTTATTAAAGGTTACAAAAGAGTGTTACAATTGTTTCTTTTTTCATATTTGGGCCCTCATTCAAAACAAGTGGTAAATAATGCAGGGAAACCACAAGTGATTCCCATTAAGGCTTACATATGCCTAGAGTAAAAAAATGAAATGTGATTATGAAAGGAATGTCAAAGCCTCACTATTTTTTACACACTTGTACAAGTTAACATTTCTCTGAGTCCTGAATTTTTCCATTAATCTGATTCCCCTGCTTGTTCCTTGTGGTTCTCTCAAGACGAACATTTGGAATATCTTTGAAACTTGATTAGGGCATGACCGAATCTATAATTTGCAAGTTAAAACTAACCATTCTAGTCAGCCTTCAAAATGCAAGGACGGACCAAGGATTAAAATTTGAATGCCTCCCCTCTAATTTGAGTGAGGTTAGAGTCCAGCTGTCTTACAAAGAGACAAAACAGGCTGGCCTTCCAAAGATGCTTTATATTTCGGATACAGAATCAATACAAAAGTGAGATACACCCAATTTGCATTGTTAAAATATGTAAATCCACGCCTGCTAAACTAGCAGAGATTAATGTCTGAATAGAAGTAGGGAGCACCAACTGTAAATTATACAGGGCATGGAGATTCCCCCATCTGCATAATGGGGCTTGATTTAGCCGCTCTATCTTGGGATCGCACATAAAGCGCCCAACACAGAAAGCCGAGCTTTGTTTAATTTGTCCAGGACAGTGCCCTGATTTTCTACAGCACTATTCACTTGGCTTCTTTAAGAATGAATAACACATTTCCTTTATGGAACTCAGTGCATTGTTCATTGGGGGGCAGCAGCTTTTCCAAGCTCCTCTCTTAAATCCCCTTTTTGTTACCTTTTGATGGTGCTATTTTGTTATTTTTAAGTTGTATTGTCTTTATTGCACCTTTTTGTCCATGCAAAGATCAAGCAATCCCATATTTAACATGGCATAACATGGTCTGTGCTCGTCTGCTAACCTAAAGGTTGGCATTTCGAACTCACCCAGTGGTGCCACAGAAAAAAGGCCTGGTAATCTGCTTCCATAAAGATTACAGCCAAGAAAACCCTACGGAGCAGTTGTACTCTGTAACACATGGGATTTCCATGGGTCGCAATTGACTCGATGACAACCTCTTTGATTATTTTGTTTTAACATATGTTTTTCTTAACCTTTGTTATTGTAACTTGAATTTATTTAATTGTAAATAAGGCTGAGCACTTGATTTAAAGGTATTTACACTTTTACTTCTGTGAATTGACAATCCATATGATGTGCCTGTTTTTCCATTGTTTCTTTAACATTTTCTTTCTTCTTTTTTATTGTACTTTAGATGAAGGTTTACAGAACAAACTAAACAAACTAGCTTCTCATTAAAGAGTTAGTACTCGTATTGTTTTGTGACATTGGTTAACAACCCCATGACATGTCAGTACTCTGCCTTCTCGACCTTGGGTTCCTAGTACCAACTTCCCTGTCCCCTCCCACCTTCTAGTTCTTGCCCCTGGGCTGGTGTGCCCCTTTAGTCTCATTTTGTTTTATGGGACTGCCTAATCTTTGGCTGAAAGGTGAACCTCAGGAGTGACTTCATTATTGAGCTGAAAGAGTATCTGGGTGCCTTACTCTCAGGATTCCTCCAGTCTCTGTCAGGCCAGTAAGTCTGGTCTTTTTTTGAGTTAGAATTTTGTTCTACATTTTTCTCCAGCTCTGTCTGGGACCCTCTATTTGTACTGGACTCAGTCTGGTGGAGGCTGTGGTAGTTGTGGTCCATTAGTCCTTTGGACTAATTCTTCCCTTGTGTCTTTAGTTTTCTTCATTTTCCCTTGGTCCTGAAGGGGTGAGACCAGTGGAGTATCTTAGGTGGCCGCTCACAGGCGTTTAAGACCCCAAATGCTACTCACCAAAGTAGAATGTGGAACGTTTTCTTTATGAACTGTGTTATGCCAATTGAGCTAGATGTACCCTGAGACCATGGTCCCACAGCCCTCAGCCCAGTAATTCACTCCCTCAGGGAGTTTGGATTTGTCCATGAAACTTCCATGACCTTACCCTGAACAAGTTGTGCTGGCTTCCCCAGTGTTGTGTACTGTCTTACCCTTCACCAAACTTACCACTTATCTATTGTATATTTAGTTTAACATATGATTTTTTTTTTGTTTTTTTCTTAAACATAAGATTTTAAAGTTGACAGATGAGAAAACTGAGACCCAGGAAATACAAGGTCATAAGCTCTGATAGCGCCTGGGTCTTTGTAACCTAGGCAAAACCACTTACTATATGACAAAAAAGAAAAAACAAAACAAAACAGTTGCTGTGGAATCGATTCCGACTCATAGCTGCCCTACAGGACAGAATTGGGTATTATTCCAAGTACACTCTTAGACTGTATCTTGAAACATGAAATTCATCTCATTTTGGCAGAAGCTCATAGTGGCTTTATCTTAGACCAGGAGAACCTGGGCATTATATTCTCTGCTTTAGGTGATTATTTGGTATTTGATCATTAGGGCTCTGTTCCAATAAGAAGTGCAAGATTCTTTATTATTTTAAAGATAATATTATCATGCATTTCTGCAGTTTAAAATTTACAAAGTCATTTTAAATTTTTTGCTAGTGGCTCCATTTTGTTTTCATAGATGATCTTTCATTACAGAAGTCATTTGTATTACTAGGACCCTTTTGGTTGCAAGTGTCAGACACTCCAACTTGCCTAAGCATTAGAAAAAGAATTTATTGGTTCACATTCTCGGTAGGTCCCTGGGTGGATCCTGTTAGCCACAGCTGGACCCAGGGGCTCAACAATGTCAAATCTGTGTCTCCACATTCCTTAGCTTTCATTGTCTCTGTGTGGGCTCGTTCTCAAACTGGCCTTGATGGGCAAGAAGCTCAGCAGCAGCTCTGAACTTACATTACGCCAGCCTACCAACCTTATTTCCCAGTCTTCTGAAAGGATCTATTTGGCCATTCTTGAATTTCCTGTGAATCAGATTCTTTGGCCAGAGACATGAGACATGACGTACTCTGATGGTCATTTTGTGTCATATGTTCTTTCCTGATGGCAGAGGATGGGCAACTATGACCGATAACCACATTCCACAGAGTAGCACATAGTAAGGGGCACGTTTCCCAAAGGAAGGGGATGGGAGCATGCTTGTATCAGAAACGACTGCAACTATCGAACTTCTACCACTGAAGACATGTAAGAATAACTCAGACTGACATAAAATGCTAATTTTCCATAAAAGATGTATTACTGCAGATTCAGTGATTCATCAAATAATCCATATTTTATTTTCCTCTTTGCCTTCACCTTTTCACCCTCTGCTATCAAGTTGATTCTGACTCATAGCAACTTTAGGATTTCTAAGGCTGTAAACCTCTACAGAAGTAGACCACCACATCTTTCTCCCAAGGAGCAACTGGTGGTTTTGAACTGCTGACCTTTTAGTTAGCAATCGATTGTCTTTTCACAGTGGGCAAAAAAGGACAAAAACACAAAAGGGAAAATTTTTTTTGTTTTTTTTAAAAAAAAAAGGAACCGTTTTTCTGTATCACTTTCAAATATTGCCTTAGCCTTGTCTCTTTGGCCCTCCTGAAGAACTTCTCAGGCAGATTTGCAGTTGTCATTGGACTTAACCATCTCCACCCGCTGTGAGATGCCCTTTCAAGCAGCCACTAACATTTCATGTTTGGTCCAGCTGTGCCTACCACAGTGTCTGGCTGAACATCCGGTGCTCGGCAAATGTGGATAGAATAAATCAGCAGACAGACGCCTCCATGTGCCTGCCTGGCTGCAGAAGCCAGGGCTCTGAAGAGTGAAGTAGCTGAGGTTTCCATGACCCATTGTGTTGAAATTGGCAGTTGAACTCTATTATCTTCATATCCCCAATTTTAGCTCTTTTTTTCCCCGTTTCTTTTACTTGGCTGGGAAGCCAAGTCAAATCACGGGGGAGGTATGTGTGCCAGTCTGCAACTCCAGTCAGCCTGCGTGTTTCGTGACTGAACCAATGGTTACGACACTTGGTCTGACAATAATGACGATGAGGCAGCAAGACACATATTTTAAAACGGAGTTATCTCTGAAAATCCAGGCAGTGTGGTTGTCCCACCTCGTGTGAGAAGACACTTCTAGTGCTGTCTACCAGAACTTGGTGTGTGGCAAAGGTCAGCCTTAACTTTAAAATGCTTGACTTTATGCTATGTCAGTTTCACCACAGTTGAAAAACAACAAAAAACGTGAAGATTTTGCCACTGTATTTGATATTCAATGATCCTTGAGGCAATTCGGACTCATAGCGACCCTATAGGACACAGTAGAACTGCCCCATAGGGGCTCCAAGGCTATAATCTCTAAGGAAGCAGACTGCCACATCTTTCTCCTTCTGAGAGGCTGGTGGGTTTGAACCGCCAGCCTTTCAGTTAGCAGCTGAGTGCTTAACCAGTGTGCCACTAGGGCGCCTTATATTCATTGATAGCACGTACAATTCCAAGCTATTTAAACTATATTTGGTTTATTCATCTGCTTTTCAGCACTTTCAGACAATGCTGAAGTCGAAACTGAATGTCCTCACCCTGAAGAAGGAGCCTCTCCCAGCAGTCATCTTCCATGAACCGGAAGCCATCGAGTTGTGCACCACCATGCCGCTGATGAAGACACGGACCTACAGTGGCTGCAAGGTACGTGGCCTGTGGCCAGCAGAGGTTCTCCTGGTAGGACAGACAAAAGGATGTGTGGTCTTAAGACACTTGTTTCACCATAGTAACTTTTTTTTTTTTGGTGAAAATATACACAGCCACACACCATTTCAACAGTTTTCCCCATGTATAAGCTCAGTGACATTGATTACATTCTTCTAGTTGTGCAAACATTGTCACCATCCTACTTTTTTGTTCCACCACCATTGACTTAAACTCACTGTCCCCTAAGCTTCTCATCTAACCTTTCGAGTTGCTGTTGTCAGTTTGTTCTCACATACATAAATTCTTTAAAAGAGCACAATGCTCAAGGCAGACATACTTGACTTATTGAGATAAGCTATTTTTTGGTTCAGTGAAGACTTCAGGGGCTATTTTTTGTTTAAGGTTTAAAGTTTGAAGATTATCTCAGGGCAATAGTTTCAGGGAGTTCATCGATTCGTAATGGATCCAGAAATCCTGGATTCCATTGAGAATTTGAAATTCTGTTCCACATTCTTCCCTCTTTGGATCAGGATTTCACTACAGAATCTTCGATCAGAAGGATCCGTAATGGTAGCTGAGCACCATCTAGTTCTTCTGGTCTCATGGCAAAGAAGGCAGTTTTTAGGGTCCTCGTTTTACGGCACATCCCAGTTAACTGGCCTAGTATTGTTTTTCAGTATTTCTGTTCTACCTCCTGGTTCGTAGCATAGTGCCTGAGGTCTTAAAAGCTGGCAAGTGGTCATTCAAGGCACAACAGTAGGTCTCCATTCATCTGAAGCAGCAGAGGAAGAAGGAGAGTCAGGAATGGGAGGAAGAAATGGACTGAGGGTCTGGTCATCTCCATGAACAACTGCCTCCTTTGCCATGAGATCAGAAGAGCTAGATGGTACCCAGCTACCATCAACCTGGTAACTTTTTTAAAAAATGAAAATATGAAATGATTTACAAAATAAGCTCATTAAGTGATGATAGTATGAATTCATATCCTGCTTTTCCTTTTTAATGATATAGCTCTCTTGATCATTTTTTGGTGCACAATAAAGACATAGATTTTAGTATGTCAGTACTAAAATAATATTGATTTAGTATGTCAATAAAAATGATATTCTATCCATATTTCTGGAGCCATGGTGGCGTAGTGGTTAAAAGCTTGGCTGCTAACCAAAAGGTCAGCAGTTCAAATCCACCAGCTGCTCCCTGGAAACCCTATGGGGCAGTTCTACTTTGTCCTATAGGGTCACTTTGAGTTGAAATCGACTCAACAGCAGTGGGATGGGTGTCCATATTTCTGTAGCCCTATGGAACTTTAGGCTTCATAAGAAAAGTTTTGTCCTTAATAATAATTTCTTCTCTTGTGGTCTCCATCTGAATAACACATATCTTAAAAAATGGTGGGGGGAAAAAAAAAACCCTCAAGTTTTCCAACGGTTGTGCTGAGTCCTTTGGGGGCAATTTTGCATTTTTGCATTGTTTCAGTTCTCAAAGTTTATACTAATATTCTCTCCTCTGAATCCATAAAAAAACAGTATTCATTTATGTCAACTGTAATGCCGACATGAAGACAACAGTAGAAATGAAATGTATAATTTTGGTAAGCTTTTGGATTGTTTTTCACATGATATTCTTTTTCACTTGAGCTGGTGAATGTGGTAATCGGCTTACAAAGAAAGGTAACAAAGAAAATATGTTTTACACGTACTTTGTTGTCCAAAATTTGTTCTGAGTAGTGAAAATAAAATAAGGGGCAACAAAATGCATGCGCACATATGGATTTCCCTTATAACCTTGTGAATGCACTCCTGTCTTTATTGTTTTCTAAGTTAGGTAAGCAGAGATTGATTGGTCTTTCTTGACAGAATATTCCATCTCTTGGCCGTTGTTGTCGTTGAGTTGATTTTGACTCATAGTGACCCCGTGTGTGCAGAGTAGAACTGCCCCATAGGGTTTTCTAGGCTGTAATCTTTATGCAAGCAGATTACTAGGTCTTTCTTCTGCAGAGCTGTTGGGAGGGTTCCAACTGCCAACCTTCCAGTCAGCAGCTGAGCACTTAACGGTTGTGCTACCAGGGCATAACTGTGGTCAAGTTGGAGCTTCTAGAACTGGTGTGTGACAGTGGTGTGCACAAAACCTCACGCACGCTTATTGTTTCCACAAATACTTATTGAGTGCTCACTGCCAGGCACAGGGGCACAGTCTGAGCAAGACTGACCAGCATCTTTATGGAGTTTAACAGCTATTTGGAGCAGAGGAGAGTGGCACATACAGGCTGATAAGCATTGACTAGGGAGAAAACCAGTCTGTGAAGAACTTGTGGAAGAATCTTTCAGACAGAGGGAACAAACCAGACTAAAATCAAACCAGTTACTGCCAAGTTGATTCCAACTAATGACGACCCCATGTGTGTCAGAGGAGAACTGTGCTCCATAGGGATTTCAGTGGCTGATTTTTGGAAGTAGATTGCCAGGCCTTTCTTTCAAAGTGCCTCTGAGTGGATTCAAACTGCCAGCCTTGAACAAATCATGCTAATTCCCTAGGTTGATGTGCCTGGGATGTTGAGAAAATTTATGTTGAGTGTTGGAGTCAGGCAGGGGTTCAGGTATGGAGAGCCTTGTGGTCATTATAATGAGTTTGGATTTTGTTCTAATTATGATGGTGAACCATCAGAAGGATTTAGGCAAGTGAGTTATAGTAAAAAATGATTAAAAAAAAACATGTCCAATGTTGTAGCAGTCACGATGGCTTGTTGCAGCTGAGGCGATCATGCTTGTCTTCTCCTGCCTAACAGTGGTGGAATCCTCAATGGCTTAGACTTGTTAGCAAACATTATTTAATTAATATTCATTGAAAATCCACTGTGTACATAGAATCATACTAGAAGGAAGACTGGCTTTGCTAAGGAGAACATCCAGCTTCCAAAGAGTGGCTGCCAGGGGCTGAGCTTCAACTGGTGAGAGTAGATCTACAGAACTGGCCTTTGGTTCCATTGTGTTTAATGCTTTTTGTTCATGGACACTATAAAGGAATTATAAGAATATTCATTACAGTTGAAAGTGACATGAGATCAAATTTGGTTATCAATTCTTTAGAGGATTTATTAAAGCCATTTTGAATTCTCTTCCTGTTGAGGAAGATGGTCCCTCAAGTGTAAGATGACATTTACTAAGGACAAATAAAAGGAGAGTCTAGTTTGATAAAATTTACAGAGTACCTTTAAAATAAGGAGTGAAAAAACAAGTTACACACAAAAAGGCCTAGGAATCCAATCCAGATATGGAAGAAAAAAAAAAAACATAATATACATATATATGTGTGTGTGTGTGTGTGTGTGTGTCTGATCGACTAAAATTCATGGTGATCTTATGTTTAACAGAATGAAACATTACTTGGACTTGTATCATCTGCATGAACATTGGTATGTTTGAGTCTCTCCCTCTGTACACACACACACACAATTTTTTTTTGTGATATTTGCTAGGAGAATAAAAGCCATCATTTTTTCTGAAAAGGAGTGTAGGGTCCAAGATTCATGGAGTGATGTTTTTCTCTTACTACCTTAGGTCCCGTGCATTTATTTCTCTTCTAAGAGGATACTGGGGGAGAAAGAGAATCCAGAAGAGCGCAGGAGAGAGGGCAAGGGTTGCACAGGTGTCCACTTGGGCGGCTCGCGAGACAAAGGGAATTCCGCCATGATTTCAGTTGAACACAGGGACCAACCTCTGCATTCAAGGGGAAGAACACATTCCCCTGGGCTGTAAAAAATTTATGAACTCTCCATCCCTAGAAATCTTGACGAGGAGATTTCAGGCATAGGTAATCATAATCCTGGAGTCAGGGACCTGGGCCAACACCTCTAGAGGAACTTTCCAGCTTTATGATTCTGTCTGACGCAAGAAACCCTCCAATGTGTAATTTTTCACATTGTATGCTATAAAGCCTATTCATTTAAACTTTAACTGTAATCATTCTGGAATTAACGTTCTTTAATTCTCCAGGACAATGTCACGTTTGTGTTCAGAGTCCTATTTTGTTAAAAAGCAACAACAACAATAAAAAAGTCAGATTTTTGAGCCTTTATATTTCTGTTTAGAATCCCCAGACCTCCCTCAATTCTTTCAGATCATCAGCAGGAACAAAGTCCAGTGTTTCATCTCTGATTCTTGCGAGTAACTTAGCGCACCAAATGCCAGCTGCAGAAGGAACTCTCGCCCCGACGCATGCCTGCCGGGAATAATGAGCATAATGTAGCCGGGCCCAGCTGCACGGCCAGAGCACAGGACCCTGCCTCTTCACACAGTGCTCGTTCTTTTTTCCTAACAGCTCTCAAGTTGTGCTGGCAGAACTTTGGGTTTGTGGATGGAGAGAGGCAGGAGGGAGTAAAGGAAGGGGAGAGTTGGAAATGGGTTATGGTTAGCACCGGCAGGGCCCTTGCTCCTCTCAGGTCTCCCATTTCCCCTCTGATCTGTATTCTCCCTGGGTCTTGGCGGGATTGCTCAGCCAGGCTATTCATGTAGCCGGCAGCTCAGTCTTTGTGTGTGTTCCCCTCTTTTGCTGCCACTCTTTTCTGGAGCAGAGTTATTTAACTGTACAGCCCACTGCATACCATTAGGGCACTCCTGCCACTCACGTGGGAGCTGCTTTGGGTCTCGGATGCTGTGTTCAATTTTGCAGCAGAACAATGGCTTGTTACTGCTGAGCTGGTCTTGCCTGTCTTCTCCTGCTGCTTCTTGTTAGCTGCCCTTGAGTTTGGCCCCTGACTCCTGGCGACCCCATGCACAGCAGAAGGAAATGCTGCCTGTGCTGTGGATTAGACCATTGTGATCTGCAAGGTTTTCATTGGCTGATTTTTGGAAGTAGATCGCCAAGCCCTTCTTCCTCTCCTGCCTAAAAACAAAACCAAAACCAGCTGCTGTTGAATTGATTCCGACTCATGGTGACCCCATGTGTTGCAGAGAAGAACTGAACTCTATGGGGTTTATGTGGCTGCCACCTTTTGGAAG